GGCAGAGGAGGAAGCGGGCGGCCGTGGACCTTTGCGGGAAGAAGACGGCAAAGGGGAAGAGCGCCGACAGCTGCGTGAGGCAAGGGCGCGGGCAAAGTCAGAGGAGGAAGCGGGCGGCCGTGGACCTTTGCGGGAAGAAGACAGCAAAGAAGCAGAGCGCCGACAGCTGCGTGAGGCAAGGGAGCGGGCAAAGGCAGAGGAGGGAGTGGGCGGCCGAGGGCCCAGGCCCATCGCCTCGGAGATTCAGCAGCAGGGCTACCCTTTTCCAGACGAGGACACCTTGACCCAGGAGCAGGCACAAGCCCATTACTTGGCTTTTGCGCGGAGCTGGAGTAGATTTGGCCTTTCTCGCGTGTGCCAGAAGTGCCAGACTCTAACACCAGGGAGGCACTGCAGAACAGCCAAAGGAAGTGGCCAGCTGCTCTGCAGGAATTGCCGCGAGAATCGCACCAAGGTGGTTTTGCCAATCCCGGCCCCCATCCCAGAAGCACTGCAAAGTCTGCAACCCATCGAGAGCATCTCCTCGCCATGGCACGCATCTCGCAGGTCTTGTTGGACAAGCTGCCATCAGGCGGCCCGAGCGCGCAGTGGGGTCGCATGTACGCAGTGCTCATGCAGGATCCTTTCATCTGCGACGTCCTCGAAGGCGCCACTTTGGAAGAAGACGGTACAGTGCTGGTCGAGGGCGTGGACGGCATGACCGCATCACCAGCGCGTTTGGAGCACCTACACGCGGCCTTGCAGGCCTTGAAGGAACTGCACTGCCTCTATCAACGGAGCCCGGCAGTGGACAGAGCTCTGGCGAGAATGGCTGCCATCCTCGCCAACAAGACATCCGCTGCGGCTGCGGTGCCAACAGACCCACTTGCGGGAACAGAAGCAAACCAAGAGATCGAGATGACATACCTGGTGCCGAAGCAATTCCAGGCCCCAAAAGCCGACGTACAAGATTTGCGAAAAGTGCGAGGATCCGCAGACCTCAGCGATGGCATGGATGCAAAATTCTTCCCACACTTGTTTCCCACCGGCACAGGAGGCTGGAAGAACGACAACGGAAGCTTTTCCCAATATGCCCGGAAGCGTCTGCTGAGCCTGGATTCCCGCTTCGAAGCGTCCACGGCCTACATCATGTGGCTGCTGGAGATGCAGACCAAGAAGCGACTTTCCGGAAACATCAACGTCCGGATCGGCAACCAGCGGGTGCCCTACGGCAGTAGCGACTACGAGAACGGTAGCCGTCAGGTGTATGCTGCCTTGCGGGACATGCCTGGCACGCAGCCGTACCTGTACGCCAAGAAGGGAGTGGCGCTCAACATGTACGAGCAGCTTGGCGCTCCCAACTTCTTCATGACACTGTCCTGCCACGCGCGCCAGCCTGCGTTGCTCCTCGCGGCTATCTCGGCACGGCTGCTGCGGCTGCATCCCGACCGCCCTCAGGCAGAACTGGAGCAGCACGCTGCGGAGATCCTATTCCGCTACCAGAATGACAAGAACTTCACTTGGGATGGGTTGTCGCCCAACCAGTTGTGCAACCAGCAGCCGGCAGTGGTAGCGCGACAATTCATGCACCAAGTCTCTCAGCTGATGTGGTGGCTGTCCAGCACGCGCGGTCCGAAAGTCCACCTGCACGAAGATGCTGATCCACAAGATGGAGTCGAGGAGAACGACTGCGAGGACGTGGAGGACGACGCCCAGGCACCCGCCACGGATTTTGCAGGCCTTCATCGCCGCATGCGCAAGGAACGGCCTCCTTTCAAAGTGTTGGACTACATCATTCGCATAGAATGGCAAAAGCGGGGCTACCCCCACGCTCACATCCTGCTTTGGATCGAAGAGTGGGCCAAAGCAACGCAGCAGCCAGACAAGATGGCGCCCGACGGCGAAGACTCCGAACAAGCAGCAGAGACACCGGTTCCAGACTGGTCTGACGAAGAGGCCATGGAGAACTTCATCCCCAAGTGTGCGGAGGACCTCAGCGACAAGTACATCTGCACCAAGTCCCCGAACACGTGGCGCCAATCCCACCGCGTACCACCCAGAGATAGAGAAGTGAACGCAAAGCTGTCCGCAGAGGTGGTGCACAACCACACGCCATATTGCGGCATGTACTCAGAAGGCGCCTGTCGATTTGGATTTCCACATGATGCAGAGCCCCGGACTCGGCGTCGAACATCGCAGGAGCAGTACGCCAACAGCCGCTGGAAGAGCAGCCTTGCGACGAGACGAGTGAAGGGAGACAGCATGATGGGACAGTACAACATTCGAATCTTGAGAAGGTGGAGGGCAAGCATGGACCTGCAGGTCATCTGCGAGCTCACCAGCGCCAGTCGGTACATACTGGGCTACACTTTCAAGTCGGAGGAGGATCGCGAAGCGCAGCGGCGAATGGAAAACATCCTTGCCATCCTAACAAGTCAGAGCGCAGGCGCCGGCCTCGACAATCAGAAGATCTACAAGGCAGCCCACGCGGCGTTGCAGGGCAGGACCACGTCGACCTTCGAGGCATGCCACCTTCTGCTGGGCTTCCCGATCATCGAATTCTCCAGGGACAACGTCTGGGTACAGGTGGGGCCTCCAGACACCTGGACAGTGTGGGTGCCCAAGCATGAGGAACAGGTGGCCTTGCAGCAGCCCACTGACTACCGCAACAAGAAGATGCGCCAAGGTGGGAACCTGCCTGTTGCTCATCACTGGTACCGGGAAATGCAAACCACCTTCGGTGAACATGAGACGACCTTGCCAGTGGAAGGCACGGAGCCGGTTTCCTGTCGGTTTAGTGAAGTCACCTTCCTGGACTTTTGCGCGGCTTTCAAGTACATCGGCGTGCAAGAACCACAGCCTCGCAGGCGCCCTGCAATCGTCGGCTACCAGAACTTCAACCCGGACGAGGAGGCCGAAGCTTTCTACTACTCCAAGTTGCTGCTGCACCTGGTGTGGAAGGAACCTGGAGATTGGCTGTTGGAGCAGGATGCAGGAAGCCATGCAGCAGCGTTCCAGCGCATCGCCCGAGACGTGCGCGGCCACCCAGACTTCCTTCGGTCGAGATGCTTCCCTCAGCTAGATGGCACCGTCGACGCCGCCCGCAAGCTGCAGGCCGTACAAGCGACGATGTACATGAAGGCCAAGATGCATCCGGCAAACCTGCGGGACGGCTGGGCCAACAGCAAGGTTGCCGAGGAGAACTACAAGGATTCCTTGCAAATATTGGAGGCACTGAAGGAGCGGTATGGAGGAGACATCGACTTCCTGGCCCCGGACTCTGTGCCCACCGGAGCTGCCCTCAATGCCTTTGCGCCGGTCGAGGAAGGCGAAGAATCATTCGAGATGTTGACGGTTGAGAACCCCTGCCCGGAGACCACGCGCCAGTGCCAAGCCATGGAGCACATCGTCCAGTCAGTTCTGAGGCAGCCGAACACCAAGGACACGCAGAATACTCAGCGTCTGCACATGCTCCTCCACGGGCCCGGCGGCAGCGGCAAGTCCGTGGTGGTACGCGCAGCAGCTCACGTCCTGCGGCAAAGCAAGAAAGGATGCATCATAGCGGCGCCCACGGGTGTGGCAGCATTCAACATCAACGGTGTCACCCTCCATCAATGTTGCTTGCTCCCCGTAGTGAACCAAAGCCACGGCAAGGCCTGCGACATGCCGCTGCCGGACCGCCAGAAGTTAGCCACTCTCAGAGACATCTGGTCGAAGGTCAGCGTTCTGTTCGTTGACGAGATGAGCTTCATCCCCTCCTGGATGTTGGAGCGTCTGGATCAGCATCTCCGTCTTGCCAGAGATCTGCAAACCCTGCCCTTCGGAGGACTGCACGTCATCTTTGCCGGGGACCTGTATCAGTTGCCTCCACCAAGCGGGCTGCCGGCCTTCGCCAGCCGGCTTTGGCTGCTCTTCCAGCTCTGCGAGTTAGAAGGAAACCAGCGGGCCGCACGCGACCCAGCCTGGGCCGCTCTGCTGGCACGCGTTCGGGTGGGACAGCAGACCGACGCCGACATTGAGGTGCTGCGGAATATGGTGATCAAGAAAGGCAGCAAGAAGCGGCCCGCCCCGAAAGCCGTGAACCTATACGCCACTCGCCAAGCAGTCGCCGAAAGCAACCGCCGCTACAAGGAAGAGCACGTCTTGAACACAGGAGAACAGCTACACGATTGCCCAGCTGTCGACACCAACGTCAAGACCGGTGTGCCGCTGTCTCCAGATGCCGTCTGGGCCGAGCCGGAGAACACGGGTGGCTTGGTAGGCCTGCTGCAGGTGGCCATTGGGCTCCGTGTCATGCTCAGATACAACATCGACGTGCGAGATGGCTTGGTCAATGGCGCCTGTGGCACGGTGGAGCACATTGACACCGAGAAAGCCGGCGGGGAAGTCGAGAGGATCTGGGTTTCTTTCGAGAAGAATGCTGGGGCCACTTGGCGAGCAGAGCACGAAACCTCCTGCGTGGCAATCTCGAGGCGCTCGGCCACGTACCTTGACAGAGACGGCAGCAAGGCATCGAGGCATCAATTCCCGCTCGTTCTCGCCAAAGCCATCTCGATCCACAAGAGCCAGGCAGCTACCTGTAAGGACGGAGCGCATACCCGCCTCGATCACACCATCTTCGCAGAAGGTCAAGCCTACGTCGCCCTGAGCCGCTGCCCCGAACAGGCACTCTGCAGCTTGGAGCTCTTCAACCCCAAGGCTTTGCGGTTCAACGCCAACGCAGAGTGGGCCCTGACCAAGCTGAAGGCGCAGCAAGCCGACCGGGACGGCCCGGATCTCTGGAAGGCGTTGTTCAAGCCGGAGCAGAACAAGGAGTTCTATGAAAGACGACTAGCTGAGATGGGGACGCCCGACTGGAACCGTCTCAAGCCAGACCACGGCGAGCGCATCGAGCGGCCCTGGTGTTGTGCACTATGCGGCACGGAGGCTCCCAACACCAAAGCTGCCATCAAGGCTCATAAGCGCAAGTGCCCGGCCAAGCCACCAGCCAAGACGAACGCCAACGCCTGCGCTCTGACTTGTTAGGATGGCAAGGATGTTTTCCATTCGCCGCTGCGCTTCGCGATCCTCCTCCGACTTGAAAGTGTAGCCCAGTATGTACCGACTGGCGCTGGTGAGCTCGCAGATGACCTGCAGTCCATGCTTGCCCTCCACCTTCTCAAGATTCGAATGTTGTACTGTCCCATCATGCTGTCTCCCTTCACTCGTCTCGTCGCAAGGCTGCTCTTCCAGCGGCTGTTGGCGTACTGCTCCTGCGATGTTCGACGCCGAGTCCGGGGCTCTGCATCATGTGGAAATCCAAATCGACAGGCGCCTTCTGAGTACATGCCGCAATATGGCGTGTGGTTGTGCACCACCTCTGCGGACAGCTTTGCGTTCACTTCTCTATCTCTGGGTGGTACGCGGTGGGATTGGCGCCACGTGTTCGGGGACTTGGTGCAGATGTACTTGTCGCTGAGGTCCTCCGCACACTTGGGGATGAAGTTCTCCATGGCCTCTTCGTCAGACCAGTCTGGAACCGGTGTCTCCGCTGCTTGTTCGGAGTCTTCGCCGTCGGGCGCCATCTTGTCTGGCTGCTGCTTTGCTTTGGCCCACTCTTCGATCCAAAGCAGGATGTGAGCGTGGGGGTAGCCCCGCTTTTGCCATTCTATGCGAATGATGTAGTCCAACACTTTGAAAGGAGGCCGTTCCTTGCGCATGCGGCGATGAAGGCCTGCAAAATCCGTGGCGGGTGCCTGGGCGTCGTCCTCCACGTCCTCGCAGTCGTTCTCCTCGACTCCATCTTGTGGATCAGCATCTTCGTGCAGGTGGACTTTCGGACCGCGCGTGCTGGACAGCCACCACATCAGCTGAGAGACTTGGTGCATGAATTGTCGCGCTACCACTGCCGGCTGCTGGTTGCACAACTGGTTGGGCGACAACCCATCCCAAGTGAAGTTCTTGTCATTCTGGTAGCGGAATAGGATCTCCGCAGCGTGCTGCTCCAGTTCTGCCTGAGGGCGGTCGGGATGCAGCCGCAGCAGCCGTGCCGAGATAGCCGCGAGGAGCAACGCAGGCTGGCGCGCGTGGCAGGACAGTGTCATGAAGAAGTTGGGAGCGCCAAGCTGCTCGTACATGTTGAGCGCCACTCCCTTCTTGGCGTACAGGTACGGCTGCGTGCCAGGCATGTCCCGCAAGGCAGCATACACCTGACGGCTACCGTTCTCGTAGTCGCTACTGCCGTAGGGCACCCGCTGGTTGCCGATCCGGACGTTGATGTTTCCGGAAAGTCGCTTCTTGGTCTGCATCTCCAGCAGCCACATGATGTAGGCCGTGGACGCTTCGAAGCGGGAATCCAGGCTCAGCAGACGCTTCCGGGCATATTGGGAAAAGCTTCCGTTGTCGTTCTTCCAGCCTCCTGTGCCGGTGGGAAACAAGTGTGGGAAGAATTTTGCATCCATGCCATCGCTGAGGTCTGCGGATCCTCGCACTTTTCGCAAATCTTGTACGTCGGCTTTTGGGGCCTGGAATTGCTTCGGCACCAGGTATGTCATCTCGATCTCTTGGTTTGCTTCTGTTCCCGCAAGTGGGTCTGTTGGCACCGCAGCCGCAGCGGATGTCTTGTTGGCGAGGATGGCAGCCATTCTCGCCAGAGCTCTGTCCACTGCCGGGCTCCGTTGATAGAGGCAGTGCAGTTCCTTCAAGGCCTGCAAGGCCGCGTGTAGGTGCTCCAAACGCGCTGGTGATGCGGTCATGCCGTCCACGCCCTCGACCAGCACTGTACCGTCTTCTTCCAAAGTGGCGCCTTCGAGGACGTCGCAGATGAAAGGATCCTGCATGAGCACTGCGTACATGCGACCCCACTGCGCGCTCGGGCCGCCTGATGGCAGCTTGTCCAACAAGACCTGCGAGATGCGTGCCATGGCGAGGAGATGCTGCTCGATGGGTTGCAGACTTTGCAGTGCTTCTGGGATGGGGGCCGGGATTGGCAAAACCACCTTGGTGCGATTCTCGCGGCAATTCCTGCAGAGCAGCTGGCCACTTCCTTTGGCTGTTCTGCAGTGCCTCCCTGGTGTTAGAGTCTGGCACTTCTGGCACACGCGAGAAAGGCCAAATCTACTCCAGCTCCGCGCAAAAGCCAAGTAATGGGCTTGTGCCTGCTCCTGGGTCAAGGTGTCCTCGTCTGGAAAAGGGTAGCCCTGCTGCTGAATCTCCGAGGCGATGGGCCTGGGCCCTCGGCCGCCCACTCCCTCCTCTGCCTTTGCCCGCTCCCTTGCCTCACGCAGCTGTCGGCGCTCTGCTTCTTTGCTGTCTTCTTCCCGCAAAGGTCCACGGCCGCCCGCTTCCTCCTCTGACTTTGCCCGCGCCCTTGCCTCACGCAGCTGTCGGCGCTCTTCCCTTTTGCCGTCTTCTTCCCGCAAAGGTCCACGGCCGCCCGCTTCCTCCTCTGCCTTTGCCCGCGCCCTTGCCTCACGCAGCTGTCGGCGCTCTGCTTCTTTGCTGTCTTCTTCCCGCAAAGGTCCACGGCCGCCCGCTTCCTCCTCTGCCTTTGCCCGTGCCCTTGCCTCACGCAGCTGTCGGCGCTCTTCCCTTTTGCCGTCTTCTTCCCGCAAAGGTCCACGGCCGCCCGCTTCCTCCTCTGCCTTTGCCCGCGCCCTTGCCTCATGCAGCTGTCGGCGCTCTGCTTCTTTGCTGTCTTCTTCCCGCAAAGGTCCACGGCCGCCCGCTTCCTCCTCTGCCTTTGCCCGCGCCCTTGCCTCACGCAGCTGTCGGCGCTCTGCTTCTTTGCTGTCTTCTTCACGCAAAGGTCCACGGCCGCCTGCTTCCTCCTCTGCCTTTGCCCGCGCCCTTTCCTCATGCAGCTGTCGGCGCTCTGCCTTTCTGCTGTTCTCTTCGCGCAAGGGTCCACGACTGCCCGCTCCCTGCGCTGCCCGTTGTTGCTGCCAAACAATTTTCTCTGCGCTCTTCTGGGCCAGGCACTCCTCTTTTTCGGCTTGGCGGCACTGCGGATTGCTGCACCATCCCTGTCCTCTGCCGCTCCTTGTCCCGAAGCCGCACCGATGACAAGGGGCCATGGCAACGAATCCTGAATCCTCAGATTTTGCACCTAGGGGCTGTATCCGAAACACTGCAGCAGGCTCAGTGAAGCAACTTGAGAAGCCATGCTCGAGCACTTACAAAGCTGTCCTGCCTTTGCTCGCTGCTCAGTTTCTTTCTCGTGGCACACACTGGAGCTCTGCAGGCTTGTCTTGCTGAGACATAACGTACTCACATGGGCAGCTCTACGGGCCTGTGGCTTTCTCTGAGATGTAGACAACTTGCACGTGCACGACGTCGTTGCTCAAGCTGTGACCCAACAGTTCACGCCAGCTCCAGGTGTCTGTGATCACGCCCCCGCCCAAGACCAGCTTCGTGGTGTCGAGGGGGATGGGTCCTGCAGGACCGCTGTCCAAATCGTGAAGCAAGACTTCCCTGGCGCTGCGATATTGCAGCGTTTCCGCCGGGATAGGCTTCTTAATTTCTTGTCGTCTGAGACGTAGTTGGCGCAGGGAGAGACGGCGATCTGGGCTGTTTCCTTCGTGCAAAGTGTGCAGCCAGGCTTCCCGGAAAGACTCGCACGGTTCGACATGGCAGAGTGGATAAGGCTTCGAGGTGTGGATTTCGCTACCTTGCATGTTCAGGTACTTCACCGTCATGTTGGCGAGACGCTGGCGGTATTCATTCTGGATTTCCATTTCTTTGCTCCACTGTACTCTCTCACGCGCATCTTCCTCGGCTTCGCGCTGCATCTCACTGTCGACCCAGTCCCAGTCGTCGAACCCGTCCTCGAAGTCCGCCTGTTCGGAGTCGCGAATCGAGTGGTCTCTGCTCTCCAAGTCCTCGCACGTGTCTTCGAGCATGCTGTCGCACCAGTCGACCTGAGAAACAAGACAGCGGCCATGTTCCAAAAACGAAACGAACAGCTGCGACGATTGAGATTTGTACCCCAATGGTTGCCTGGCCGCAGCGGGACACGGATGAAGACTTTAAAACGATTCGAATTGAGCCCAAGCGCGCTGCACAAGCAACAAAAAGCACGGGAAGGCTCGGCCGTCCCTACCTTCTCACAAGCTCAAGAAAGAGGTGCAACATGGCTCAACAATGCACAGAAGAAGCGAGTAGCCCATGACCGGCCGTTTCTGTGGAATTTTGAGAGTCAGAGCGAATGAAGATTGGCGTGAAACAGATGTTCTGCCAGCGACTGCTTGTGCCGTAGCCTGCATCGCGGCAGCTTTTCTAAGAGAAGAAACGGTCCGGCCACTGGCTGCTCTTCTGGCTGCCATCGTCCGTTGATCAGGATTGCCAGATGCGTCTGCCGCGACAGTGCTTCGTGACTATGGGCTTCAGATCCCATGGCTGAGATGACGTCGCCGACCGTGACGTTCTGAAGGGCCTAGAAGCTCACAGGTCGAAACAGCATGGCAATACGGTATTTGTGGGCTTCCGGTTCATTCAGCCCAGCAGCTGTCCAGCGCACAGAGCCTGCGACGTGGCCGGCCATGGTCCGCAAATTTGCGATCGGGCCACCGTCCCACTTCAGCTCGCAGTTCAGGCCCCCCAACAGCCGCAGCGGTTGGCCATTGCAACTCGCATCAGTTGAGCTGAGAAACAAGGGATGCGAAAATGCTCTCAAGACCTTTTGCGGTGACAGAGGCTTGCGCCCGAAATGGCTGTGGATGAAGACTTAAGGCTGTTCATATTGAGCCAAAGCGCACGGTGTGAGCGGTAAACGCTGGCCCCTATTCAGGTTGAGGCAAGCAAACAGGAATTGCTGGTGTCAGGACTTTGTGTTGACTGAAGCGACTCGGCTGCACCCCATTCTGGTTGAGCATAAGCACCTGGCACATGGCCCCCATTCAGGTTGAGGACAAGCAAACGTGGTTCTCCTTCATAAAATGCACCAGCGTAAGGGTTTCCAGCTCTTGGAAGGCCTTGCCAGGTAGTTCTCTTTCATAGAATGCACCAGGATAAGGATTTCCAGCTCTTGGAAGGCCTTGCCAGGTAGTTCTCCTTCATAAATGCACCAGGATAAGGATTTCCAGCTCTTGGAAGGCCTTGCCAGGTAGTTCTCCTTCATAAAATGCACCAGAATAAGGATTTCCAGTTCTTGGAAGGCCTTGCCAGGTAGTTCTCCTTCATAAAATGCACCAGGATAAGGATTTCCAGCTCTTGGAAGGCCTTGCCTTTTCCAGCTCGCGGAAGGCCTTTCCAGGTAGCTCTTTCATAAAATGCACCAGGATAAGGATTTCCAGCTCGCGGAAGGCCTTTCCAGGTAGTTCTCCTTCATAAAATGCACCGGATAAGGATTTCCAGGTCGCGGAAGGCCTTTCCAGGTAGTTCTCCTTCATAAAATGCACCAGGATAAGGATTTCCAGCTCTTGGAAGGCCTTTCCAGGTAGTTCTCCTTCATAAAATGCACCGGATAAGGATTTCCAGCTCGCGGAAGGCTTTTCCAGGTAGTTCTCCTTCATAAAATGCACCAGGATAAGCATTTCCAGCTCGCGGAAGGCCTTTCCAAGTAGTTCTTCTTCAGAAAAAAGCACCAGGATAAGGATTTCCAGCTCGCGGAAAGCCTTTCCAGGTAGTTCTCCTTCATAAAATGCACCAGGATAAGGATTTCCAGCTCGCGGAAGGCATTTCCAGGTAGTTCTCTTTCATAAAATGCACCAGGATAACGATTTCCAGCTCGCAGAAGGCCTTTCCAGGTAGTTCTCCTTCATAAAATGCACCAGGATAAGGATTTCCAGCTTGCGGAAGGCCTTTCCAGGTAGTTCTCCTTCATAAAATGCACCAGGATAAGGATTTCCCTTTCCAGGTAGTTATCCTTCATAAAATGCACCAGGATAAGGATTTCCAGCTCTTGGAAGGCCTTTCCAGGTAGTTCTCCTTCATAAAATGCACCAGGATAAGCATTTCCAGCTCGCGGAAGGCCTTTCCAAGTAGTTCTTCTTCAGAAAAAAGCACCAGGATAAGGATTTCCAGCTCGCGGAAAGCCTTTCCAGGTAGTTCTCCTTCATAAAATGCACCAGGATAAGGATTTCCAGCTCGCGGAAGGCATTTCCAGGTAGTTCTCTTTCATAAAATGCACCAGGATAAGGATTTCCAGCTCGCAGAAGGCCTTACCAGGTGGTTCTCCTTCATAAAATGCACCAGGATAAGGATTTCCAGCTCGCGGAAGGCCTTTCCAGGTAGTTCTCCTTCATAAAATGCACCAGGATAAGAGCCTTTCCAGGTAGTTCTCCTTCATAAAATGCACCAGGATAAGGATTTCCAGCTCTTGGAAGGCCTTGCCAGTTAGTTCTCCTTCATAAAATGCACCAGAATAAGGATTTCCAGTTCTTGGAAGGCCTTGCCAGGTCGTTCTCCTTCATAAAATGCACCAGGATAAGGATTTCCAGCTCTTGGAAGGCCTTGCCAGGTAGTTCTCCTTCATAAAATGCACCAGGATAAGGGTTTCCAGCTCTTGCAAGGCCTTGCCAGGTAGTTCTCCTTCATAAAATGCACCAGGATAAGGATTTCCAGCTCTTGGACGAGGTAGTTCTCCTTCATAAAATGCACCAGGATAAGGATTTCCAGCTCTTGGAAGGCCTTGACAGGTAGTTCTCCTTCATAAAATGCACCAGGATAAGGATTTCCAGCTCTTGGAAGGCTGCCAGGTAGTTCTCCTTCATAAAATGCACCAGGATAAGGATTTCCAGCTCTTGGAAGGCCTTGCCAGGTAGTTCTCCTTCATAAAATGCACCAGGATAAGGATTTCCAGCTCTTGGAAGGCCTTGCCAGGTAGTTCTCCTTCATAAAATGCACCAGGATAAGGATTTCCAGCTCTTGGAAGCAGCTTTGCAGCCGAGTCGCCCGGGATTCTCCTTAATTGGTTGGCGATAAGCTTACCAGCTGAGATTTGCAGCCGAGTCGCCTGGGATTCTCCTTAATTGGTTGGCGAGAAGCTTTCCAGCTGGGATTTGCAGCCGAGTCGCCTGGGATTCTCTTCATTGGTTGGCGATAAGCTTTCCAGCTGAGATTTGCAGCCGAGTCGCCCGGGATTCTCCTTAATTGGTTGGCGATAAGCTTTCCAGCTGAGATTTGCAGCCGAGTCGCCTGGGATTCTCCTTAATTGGTTGGCGATAAGCTTTCCAGCTGAGATTTGCAGCCGAGTCGCCCGGGATTCTCCTTAATTGGTTGGCGAGAAACTTTCCAGCTGAGATTTGCAGCCGAGTCGCCTGGGATTCTCCTTAATTGGTTGGCGATAAGCTTTCCAGCTTTGCAGCCGAGTCGCCTGGGATTTTCCTTAATTGGTTGGCGATAAGCTTTCCAGCTTTGCAGCCGAGTCGCCTGGGATTCTCCTTAATTGGTTGGCGATAAGCTTTCCAGCTTTGCAGCCGAGTCGCCCGGGATTCTCCTTAATTGGTTGGCGATAAGCTTTCCAGCTGAGATTTGCAGCCGAGTCGCCTGGGATTCTCTTCATTGGTTGGCGATAAGCTTTCCAGCTGAGATTTGCAGCCGAGTCGCCCGATTCTCCTTAATTGGTTGGCGATAAGCTTTCCAGCTGGGATTTGCAGCCGAGTCGCCTGGGATTCTCCTTAATTGGTTGGCGATAAGCTTTCCAGCTGAGATTTGCAGCCAAGTCGCCCGGGATTCTCCTTAATTGGTTGGCGATAAGCTTTCCAGCTGAGATTTGCAGCCGAGTCGCCTGGGATTCTCCTTAATTGGTTGGCGATAAGCTTTCCAGCTGAGATTTGCAGCCGAGTCGCCTGGGATTCTCCTTAATTGGTTGGCGATAAGCTTTCTAGCTTTGCAGCCGAGTCGCCTGGGATTCTCCGTAATTGGTTGGCGATAATCTTTTCAGCTTTGCAGCCGAGTCGCCCGGGATTCTCCTCAATTGGTTGGCGATAAGCTTTCCAGCTGGGATTTGCAGCCGAGTCGCCCGGGATTCTCCTTAATTGGTTGGCGATAAGCTTTCCAGCTTTGCAGCCGAGTCGCCCGGGATTCTCCTTAATTTGTTGGCGATAAGCTTTCCAGCTGGGATTTGCAGCCGAGTCGCCTGGGATTCTCCTTAATTGGTTGGCGATAAGCTTTCTAGCTTTGCAGCCGAGTCGCCTGGGATTCTCCTTAATTGGTTGACGATAAGCTTTCCAGCTGGGATGTGCAGCCGAGTCGCCCGGGATTCTCCTTAATTGGTTGGCGATCCTGGCAGTTTTCCTTCATAAATTGCACCAGGATAAGAGGCCTTTCCAGGTAGTTCTCCCTCGTGAAATGCACCAAGAAGGCCTTTCCAGGTAGTTCTCCTTCATGAAATGCACCAGGATAAGGATTTCCAGCTCTTTGAAGGCCTTTCCAAATAATTCTCCTTCATAAAATGCACCAGGATAAGGATTTCCAGCTCTTTGAAGGCATTTCCAGGTAGTTCTCCTTCGCAAAAAAAGCACCAGGATTTCCAGCTATTTGAAGACAGGATAAGGATTTCCAGCTTTTTTTCAAGGCCTTTCCATGTAGATGTGATCAGAATGCAGCGTGTTCCCTTCCCTAATTGGGTCGGGATGTGATCAGGGCCGCGCAACCAAGGTAGCCCTGCATTCCCCTCTCTAGTTGGGTCGGGATGTGATCAGGGCCTGTAAATGCAGGCACAGAGCCTTGCGTTCCCCTCCCTAGTTGGGTCGGGATGTGATCAGGGCCGGTAAATGCAGCCAAGGAGCCTTGGTCAGGATGTGATCAGGGCCTGTGTGAATGCAGTCAAGGTATTTGCCTCCTTAATTGGGTCGGGATGTGATCAGGGCCTGTGTGAATGCAGCCAAAGAGCCTTGTATTCGCCTTTAATTGGGTCGGGATGTGATCAGGGCCTTTGTAACTGCTCCCAAGGAGCCTTTGCGTTCCCTTCCCTAACTGGGTCAGGATGTGATCAGGGCCTGTGTAAATGCAGACAAGGAGCCTTGCATTCCCTCCCTGACTGGGTCGGATGTGATCAGGGCCTGCGTGAACGCAGCCAAGGAGCCTTGGCCTCCCTAATTGGGTAGGGATGTGATCAGGGCGTGTGTATGAAGCCAAGGAGCCTTGTGTTCCCTTCAGGGTGTGAGCAGGACCTGTGCAGATGCAGCCAAGGAGCCTTGCATTCCCCTCCCTAATTGGGTCTGGATGTGATCAGGGCCTGTAAATGCAGGCACAGAGCCTTGTGTTCCCCTGCCTAGTTCGGTCGGGATGTGATCAGGGCCGGTAAATGCAGCCAAGGAGTCTTGCGCTGCGCTCTCTTCTCTAAAGAATGCTCAGTGATAAGCAATCTCAGGTGCTTTTTGGGATGTCCCTCAGGGCTGTAAACACCTGACCTTTGCCCTCTTGGTACTTGTTCTTCCCGCCTGGAGCCTGCTGGTTGCCGATCCTCACGTTGATGTTGCCCGAGAGCTT